TGTCTGTTCAGTCTTTATGCACGTATGGGCCTCCTTGGTGGCTCAGATAGTGAAGAATGTGCCTGCAATGCAGGAGACCTGGGTTTGATCCCTGGGCTGGGAAGATCCTCTGGACAAGGGAACGGCTATCCACTTCAGTATTCTTGCCTGGAGAATTCTACGGATAGAGGATCTGACATAGCATATGGGAAACTGGTATTTATTGAAGTGTTATAAGGGTATTTAACATCATTTAAAAATAGAAGTAGCCCACTAGGGTAGAGAAGAACAGGACATGGTCAGACAGGGCTTGTGTTCGGGCTCTGCCATGCAGCATCTGGGAGCCAAAGCGCTCACTCACCCCGGCTCCTTGAGTATAGGGGGGGCTGCGAAGGAAAGGGGAAGGGAAGTCGCTCAGTCGTGCCCGACTCTTTGCGACCCCATGGACAGTAGCCTGCACCAGGCTCCTCCGTCCATGGGATTTTCTGGGCAAGAGTACTGGAGTGGGTTGCCGTCTCCTTCGGGTTGCCGATCGGGTTGCCGATCTCCAGGGGATCTTCCCTACCCAGGGACTGAACCCAGGTCTCCCGCATTGCAGGTGGGATCCTTTACCAGCTGAGCCGCCGGGGAAGTCCTGGGGAGGGGGCTGTGGTGAGGTTTAAATAAGACACTGCACGTGGAGTCTCAGGCACGGTGGCGCCACGGCAGGGCTTCTGTGTGGCCCCATTTCCATTTCTCTTCCTCTAACAGTATCAAAAGAACAAACATTTGTAGAACTTACACATTATGTAAAGGGCTTTCAAATAAAGAAGTAATTGAGGTACCTCCCCGGTGGTCAGTGGTTAAGACTTCGCCTTCCGACACAGGGTTTGCAGATTTGCGATCCCTGGTCGAGGAGCTAAGATCCCGCATGCCTAATGCCTTGCGGCCAAGAACCCAAAACATAAAACAGAAGCAAAATTGTAAGAAATTTAATAAAGACTTTAAAGAAGATTTAATTAAAAAAAGAAGTAATTGATCTAGTCGTATGTATTAAGTAATCCTGTTTGGATCAAAATATATTAGACATTCAACTGAATGAACTTTCTAGGGATTTAGAAGCAATGGAGACAAAGCCTTTATAGTGCCCAACATATCACCTCAGGCAAGTTCTGATTCTGTCTCTTTCTGGTTGTGCTACCCAGACCAAGCCACGTAATTTCTCAGTTTCCCAGTCTTTGAAATGTGGATACGTCTGCTTCTAAGGTCTGTGTACATCAGGTAAGGTAACTGCCTCAGGCAATATTGATATTTCGGTTTAGATGACACCAATCAAAACATGAGAACTTCTTTAGTGTGGGTTTTCTCTCACTGCTCAGGAGTCTTTCTTATTTTGTGAAAATAGAAGGATTATTTCATTTTTCCCTAAGTAGGGTTATAAATAAATGGCTATAAGTGTCACATTGGGAAATTCTTTTTTCTTTTTCATAACTTTGGAGCATGTGGTCCCTAAATTTTATTAATTCCATTACTCTCCTTTATTATTTATTTCAAGAACATTTTTACTTATCCTAAGTATCATTCAAGAAAATTTCTAAATATGGTCGATTAGGTCCTAAATACTGGAAATATTTTTCGCCCTTCTGTTGCTATTTTTCATATTTTTCATTTAACTATCTTATCGCCATAGAACTTGGACTTAAAAGCTGATCTGCCATGTGCCACACACACATAAATAGTCGTGTAGGACACCTTGTTTGTGCTAAAATGAGAGAACAGATGTGAAAGCACTTTGGAAATGGAAAAGCAAGCTCTGTACACATTACGGTATTATTATAATACAAATATGAATGCGACATTTATCTATTAGGGGTGTGGAAATAGGGAAGCCTTTCAGAACTTCTGAGCTAATGAATCCTGTGTTTCCAGCATGATAGGAAACCCATTGTTTACACATGCTGACACCACTACATTTCATGGTTTCAAAAATCTTAATAGTACTGAACTTGATTTGTTTCTCCCATATTTATGTAAGACAATTTGATGCTACAACATTGCTTATGTCAGAATAAAAGCAAACAACAGCCATGCTATTTAAAATTCTCTGGATTCCAAGAAAGGTATTTTAAATGGTTTCAATTGAAAATAAGTAACTAAACACTGTGTTACCTTTTGAAAAATATATGCTAACAAATTTAACACATAGAATGGACATTAAATTTACCTCATTTTAATCTTAAGCAGGAGTTTACTAAGTTAAAGCACTTCCACACATCTGCTGGGCCAACCTTAAGAAAGTTAGGTTCCTATAATTGCTGAAACCACTGAGAGCTTCAGGTTCCTGGCTATGGCTAGAATTCCAAATCACTCTGCTGGGGGCTCAGCTAAACCTGGAGCAATAGAGGGGTCTCTGTGAACAAGGGTTTGTCCTGGTGGTTTTCTCTTACCTGAATTTTCCTTTCTGTTAGGGAGTAAGAAAGCCTGAAGGTGGACTTCTGCCTTTTAGTGGGAAACAAGACTGGCGAGGCATGCATTAACCAACCTCCAGCAAGCCCTCAGGAGAAATCCATTGGGAAAGCACTTCAGGGACTGAGCTCCCAGCAGGAAGCAGGTGTAACCAGCTGCTTTGGTACAGGAATTTTAATTGCTAATTCAAGTCTTCAGGAAGAAGAGTTGAATTCAACTTTACACTGGCTAAGGGCATAACTTTGGGGAAGACTTGGTCTAGAGAGAGTATGATGGATTATATATTTTTTAAAAAAAGCAAATGGATTTCAAAAATTATTACAGCAAACAACCAGAAACAGAAAAATAAGAAAAAACATCAGCTGAGTGGCAGAGTGGTGGAACGGTCACATAAATAAAACCATTCAACAACAAAATTACTGAGTATTTCATATTTTGACAGGTTAAAGCTTTGAAATGGTGCTATTTTTAAAAGGTATCCATTCATTTCTCCATGATTTCTAGCATTTCTAGACTGGGAAAGAGTCTCAAGACAAATAAAAAACTGCAATTAACACAACATAAAGAGTTGAGATCCCCAAATCTCTTCTTCTTATTGATCGGATTCCTGTAGTGCCATCTCCTATTTACTCTGCAGCAAATGCGCTATATTGAGCAGTGGGATTTTAGAAAGCTTCTAATAAGCTCCTGGCTGCTGACAGAGGCCCGGGTCTCCATCAGTCATTTCAACGCTGGGAACAGCACTAGGGTGGGGCGGGGAGGCAGGGAAATGAGCACGTACACACAGACCCTCTCCAGCTCACATCGCATCCGCTGCTTACCTCACTTCTCTTTCTGCGTTTGTGCCTTTCTCACCTGGCCAGATAAAAGTTCATTCAATTTTCTCAAGGGCAAGACAGTTCCTGAAAGGGATGCATTCTGATTGGAACAACAAGAAAAAAGATCTCGACTCTTCAAAAAGGTAATACTTCCCCTAGCTTGTGAATCTCAGAAAGACCGTAAGGGAGCAGTTGCTAGATTACCTCTGAGGGTTCACGCTCAGGCAGAAGAGTAATTAATTTCCTCTTTGGAAAAAAACTGCACTATGTGGAGAAATTTCATAAATTGCATGAGCAGTTCAGACAGGTGATTCTGTTGCTGAATTTGGCACGGTCAATAATGGCTAATTCTTGTTCATGGATGATCCTGCCTTATCCAGGGTAGGGAAGGGTTCAGGAAAGATCCAGTTTGTATTCATACATAAAGACTACAGGGTTCAAGGTTAAAGCAAATGTCTCTGCTGTCATTAGAGAAATTCACCCACGTATGTGGCCGATAAATACTAACAAATAGAAAATATATTAATATATTAACATTTTGGGGGAAAAAAGATTTTAGATTTGTTATTTAAAAAAAATCAGTGAAAACAGTAATAAGGATTAAAAGATAATACTGAATAAGAGAGAGGGAAGATTATTCTTTTCTTGTCTCTGCACCTCCCTGCAATAAAAGATTCTCCATAATCCCAACACTGCTATTCTCTGCACAAAGAACTCTGAAACCAATTCAGTACTGAGCAAGCTGAAAGGAGACACAATATCTCAGACCCCTTCTCTCCAGGGCATTTGTAGGCAGAATAGCCACGGCTTCCAGAACATTCTTTTCACATTTCTCTTTCATGAGCGGCAGCACTGAATGTTTACCAAAGGCTTTAAAAAAACAATCTCACCAAACAGAAGAGAAAAATATTTAACAACCAAGGCAAAGCAATTACAGTCAAATTTTCACCTCAAGATTCTCATCTTAGGTGTGGGAGGCAGAGAGAAGTTTCTTAACACATCAGTCTGAACCTAGAATGAGGACGAAAAGAGTTGATTCTGCCAATAGTTGTCAACAGATCCACAGCTTTGAATCTCGGGGTGACTCTGCAGAGCAAGCTGCCATCAGAAAGTGCTTTAGTGACAGTACCACTATTTGGTTATGGCTGACTTGAATTTTTGAGCAGTGACCTGGGGACCGGAGAGACCCAGACATCCATACCCGAAATCTGAACAGGACAGATCTCTCTTTTCAGGTATTTGTGTCAGGCAGCAGCATCATTTTCAGCTACTCAAGGTGACAATATGAGATGGCTGCAACTAGTCCCCATTGTACAAGTCTATACAAATGTGTAAACTTGGCAGGAAATTAACAGCATTACTTGGAGTTAGCCTACTCCTCCCCACCCCCCTGACTTTCACCCTGTCATCCAACCAATTTAATTCTGTAATCTAGACCTTTATGACTTTTCATTGTGATTTGATTCTTATACAGCATTATTCCCTTTAGAGCAAAGACTTTCTGGGTGCAAAGAGACCAGACACAGTATCTTCAGTCAAGAACTGTATAACAATGATTTGTGTCTACATTCCATTTCCAGAAAGGTCTGTTTCAATCTAGCTCAACTGAGCAGGGAATAAAAGTCATGACATAAAATGGGAAAATTCCAGTTAGGTTGTGTACAATATGCATCCATTGTAAGCAACTGTTCAAAATCAGAATGCAGTACTTAATCTCGGAAAAAGACAAAAACGTCACAGAGGCTCTGAACACCTTACCTGGGCCATCTGCCTCTCCAGTTTTGATCGGGGAATATCATCAAAGTAGTTTTCATTTCTTCTCCTCCTTGCATCGCCCTGCATGATAATGTGAGGAACGTCTAGGGAGCCACCAGTGGTGTAAGTGCTTTGGCTAAGTGATGGAGACAACTGAGGAGGAGTGTGATTACCACTGGGTTCCTGAATGGAAATACATCATGAAATAAATACCATGTTCTTGTGGCTGACCTCTGGTTTCAAAATTGTGAAATACTGACAAGACACACCGCGGGAGTGGGGAGTCATTTTAAAATCAACTGTTGAGGAATCGATGACATTCTACCATTTTATTAATGCATGATCAACACATCCCCCCTTAAGCCTTTCAGGTTGAAGGTTTACAGCATAAAGAACCAGGCTCTGTTTTCTGAGCCTCCATCATGGATGATCTCAGCAGAGAGCACACATGTGTCAGGCACCCCCACGCTGTCACACGTATCTGCAAGGGAGGGAACTGTGTCTCCATGGGAACAGAGTGGCCTCATTACGGTAGGTGCCATGATGAGACAGCTAAAATAGCACCTCGTGGGTCTTGATCTTCCCTCAAAGAGCAGCCTGGCCATCAGGCTGGGGAGAGGACGCGATCTGGAAATGGCATGCTACATGCACAGACTCCAGAGCAATGCATGAGGACAGGCTTTGATGGCAAAGACAACTGGGGGAAACTGGTTGAGAAGTAAGATAAAGGGTGGCAGAGAGCTGGGCTCTGGTGTTTGCGAGTAAGAGGAGGACTGGATCGTGCTGGTTCTCCAGCTACTTCTCCCCAACACATTCCAGACCACCTCTGATGGGTTAACAAGGTCCTGCATTTTTTTCTTGGGAACCTCTTTCTTTGATTTATTTGCTGTTTCCTCAAGTCTCTTCCAGAGAGCCAGAGGGAGAGGTTCAGAAGAGGAAGGAGAGACAGTAGGGGACATAGCAGGGAATATTCCTCTAAAGGGTCATTTAGGATGGCTACACTGAGGGTGCCTATATCTTTTTCCTCTTCATGCAGCAAAATGAAGGCAAAACAGTAATCCCTTTCTAGCTCATTTCCCCCCAATTTATCTGAGGCTCCTTCTATTGAGGGAGAAAAATAGGTCCTTTTTTTTTTTTTTTTTATTGTCACTACTCCCAAAGCCCTCAACCAGCTTCCAAACAACCCAATATATCCCAATTCCCCTAGTCATCAATTTTTCTCATGACTCCCTCCTGGAGCCAATTCGCTGGCATTTTCTGAAGTCTTTGTGTATTTTCTTCTCCTTTAAAATTGAATCAGCCTCAAAACCTTAACAGCTCCTCTCCTGCCTGATCCTCTGCTACCCTGACAGTAGTTATGCTGTTTGCTGAAGTCCACTGATAAGAAACATTCAATGGCATTTCATTGCTGGCAGTCACATCTAAGTGCCACTTTTGTGTTCATTTATTATCACTACCCTTTCTGACACTTGCAGAAAAGGAATCAGAAGTAAGCAAGTACAGGGCTCAATAAACAGAAGAGAGTTGGAGCTCTCCAACTGGTCATGGAGACCCCGGCTTTATGGTGATTTTTGAAAAGTTCCTATGGGCCTCATAAACACGAGACTGCTGGTTACTCCTTCCTGGGCCCATTCTCCCTGGAATCTTCTCCGTGTCTCTTTCCTTCTGCTCTTTCTTGCCTTCTTTCCCTTCCACTTTACTTCTCTCTTCCTCCTATGGTTTCTCTCTAGTTTTTCTACCCCATAATTCTAAAATATAGCTTAAATAGTTTACTAAAGTCCAGATTCTCTATTCTTAATTTTTGAAGTGGGTAAAAACCCAACAACTCATTTCTTAAAAAACAGAAGACCCAAAGGTTAATTTTAAATTGATCTTTTACTTAACTCTGGTCCTCATCGATTTTCTTTCTGTGGGTTTGAGGAGTTTGACAGAAAATTCATTTCCTCTCTGTGTTGAGGGGAGTGTGGGATGGAGGGGGCGGCAGAGAGATTCTTTAAAGGTGGTGGTTTTTCAGATGTTTATCTAAATCTCAAAAAGACAGATTTAACCAATCGAGAAAAACAAATCTTGTCTTAGAAAATGCTATCAAAGGCAAGAAAGCATTTTATACAGATAAGGTAAGCTACCTGGAAAACAGCCTGTACTTTCTGACCCACCACTTCAGTCATTCCCATCTTACTGCACAGCACAGTATTTGAGGACACGAGTGGAGGGCAGAAAAGGCACGCGGGTACTTACCCTGAGGGTGATGGACCGAGGGGGCTTCTGCGGCGGGTCGTCGTGCAGTCTGTCTCCCAGAGATGCCAAGATACGTTTCCTGTGGCCAATCAAATTGATTTTTAAAACCTGAAACGACATGTATATTTGGATTAAATACTTCACTTGAGAAAAAAGATTTTTACTTGTCCTGTAAGATGCGGGACGGGAGAGATTTGTGCAAAGTTGCTCCGCACCGGGAGAGATGAGGCGTGAGCTCCGTGTGTCCCCGCGAGGCCACGGAGAGAGGACCGGGGCGGCGAGGCAGAGGAGGGGCGGGGCAGGGCTTCCGGCAGCCAGGCTGCCCGCGGGTCCAGCTCGCCACCCAGCAGCCACGAGACCTCTCCAAGTGTGAGTCAGGTCTCATCCCTCCACGAGCTTCCTACGGCTCTTAGAGCAAAACCCAAGTCCTTACCTGGCCTCGAGGCCCGACGGGGCTGGCTGCTCTTTCTCTCTCTGGTCCCTGCCGCCCTCCCTCGGGCCTTCTCTGTTCCTTGAACAGTCTGGCCTTGGGGTCTCTACCCCTGTTTCTCCATCTGCCTGGAGTGCTCCCCCCGACCCACCGCCTCTCCTGCGGTTTTCAAATGATGCTTTCTTATCCGTTCAGACGCTGCTTCAGTGTGGCCTCCTCACAAAGGCCCATCGCACCTCCTCGCTCAAAGAACCGAGCCGGCCGGCACGCTCCACCCCGTGAGCCTCTTCGTAGCAGTCTCTAAACAACCTTATTTACGGGGCTGGTGTTTGTGTAGCCCTCCCCACAAGGTGCTTCCCTGGTGGCTCAGGAAGTAAAGAATCTGCCTGCAATGCAGGAGACCCGGGTCTGACCCCTGGGTCAGGAGATCCCCTGGAGAAGGGAACGGCTATCCACTCCAGGATTCTTGCCTGGAGAACTCCTATGGACATGATAGCCTGGCCGACCACAGTCCGGTCCACAGGGCTGCAAAGAGTCGGAGACGACTGAGCAGCTGACACTGGCACTCTCCAGATAACACAGCCCTGCTGATGTCCGACTGTTTGTGACACCACGGACTGTAGCTCTCCAGGCTCTTCTGTCCATGCGGATTCTACAGGCAAGAACATTGGAGTGGGTTTCCATGCCCTCCTCCGGGGGATCTTCCCAACCCAGCGATCGAATCTGCATTGCAGGTGATTCTTTACCATCTGAGCCAGCAGGGAAGCCCAAGAATACTGGAGTGGGTAGCCTATCCCTTCTCCAGGGGGTCTTCCTGACGCAGAAATCATACCAAGGTCTCCCGCATTGCAGGCAGATTCTTTACCAGCTGAGCTACCAGGGAAGCTCTCAAAAAAAACATTTGCCCAGGTAAGTGTCCAGAGAGCAGGTATGCCTTTGTCATCATTATTTCCCCAACAATGTTTGAAATAATGGAAGCTCAATGAACATGGAAGAATGAATATTAAGGCAGATGAAAGTAAAAGTAGAAATAGAATCAAGTACTGCTGACCAGGGTCTCCCAGGATGGGACTTTTGAGTCTGACAGCACACTGCAAAGGGCAAAGTGCAGAGAGATGACGCAGGAAACCAAGCCTTGCAGGGAGCCTCGGTCCTCAGCCCTTCCCAGAGCTTTCCACATTGCTCGCTTTCCTTCATCACACATTCCTGGTGGGAAGGTGCGCTTCTTGATTTACAGCAGAGGGGACTGAGGTTCAGAGGGCTGAAGTAGCCTCCCAAAGAGCCAATATATGGTGGCTCTGCGATTTGAATGTGGTTTGCCTGATTCCAAAACTTGTTTTACTCCTAGGCAAACAGCAAAGTTTGGGCATATCTCCAAATACCACTGACTTTTTAAAAACAACAAATTATAAATCCATTCATAAGAAATATGTTCACTTCTTTCCTACACATATACGGTACTAGGATAGAACAATTCTTGTTGGATAACTAGTTCCAAAAGTATATGACCCATTGTGAAAATGATTTTTTTAATATTCTCTTCAAATTTTACAGGGTTGAAGCGGGTATTTCTCTGACACTCATTCTGTGCTACCCTATTTGTCAGTAGCCTATTGGCCTCTCTGCCTAAATTGATTTTGATTTTAAGTTAACATGAAGCTCTATTCCTTTTATTTTTAAATTGAATTTTAAAATATTAAAAGTTTTTTATTTTATATTGGAATATAGTTGATTTACAATGTTGTGTTAATTTCAAGTGTTCAGCAAAGTGATTCAGTTATACATATATCCATTCTTCTTCAAATTCTTTCCCCATACAGGCTATTACAGAATACTGTATTGAGTTCCCTTGGTAAAGAATCTGCCTGCAATGCAGGAGACCTGGGTTCGATCCCTAGGTTGGGAGTATCCTCTGGAGAAGGGAATGGCTACCCACTCCAGTATTCTGCCCTGGAGAATTCCATGGACTGTATAATCAATGGGGTTGCAAAGAGTCGGACACAACTGAGTGTAAATACTGTGCATATGCTATACATAATAAGTAAGACTTCCCAGGTGGCACAGAGGTAAAGAATCTGCCCACCAATGCAGGAGATGCAGGAGATGCAGGAGATGTAGGTTTGATCCCTAGGCTGGGAAGCTCCCCAGAGCAGGAAATGGCAACCTGTTTTAGTATTTCTTGTCTGGAAAACTCCATAGACAGAGAAGCCTGGTGGGCTACAGTCTACGGGGCTGCAAAAAGTTGGATTCGACTGAGCACACATGAGCACGTGCTTCACAGGAGGTCCTTGTTGGTTATCTAGTTTATACATAGTAGTGTGTATATGTTAATCCCAACCTCCTAATTTATCCCTCTCCCACTGCATTTCCCCTTTGTTAACCGTAAGTTTGTTCAATTCCTTTTTATATTCACTCTCTGACCTATGTCTGTTGAGGGTGGGGATGGTGAGTGTTAATCAAGGTCTGTCTACATGCAACACCTCCCTCTGATTTTATAAACCTTCATCTCCCCCAGACTGATACATCCTCATCTGGGCAGGCTGGTTTCATAAAGCAGCTCTCTTTTCATAAAGCAGTCCCTTCAGTCCATTCTCTCTGTACTGTCTCCTCCCCTATTTCAACTGCTTCAGGTCTGCTGAACAAATTACTCAGAATAATCCAGGTATAGGCGAACTTTGGCACTACATTTAAGCAGGATACCATTTCCTGCTTCTAATGCCCCTTTAAAAATGCCTTTTCTAAGCACTCTTGATTTGTGGCTGGCCGCATAGCTGCAGTAGGAATAACGAGGCACAAAAATATACACTGACTGGAAAACCTCTTAATTCGGTCAGAGCTGATAGTTGAAAGCCTTTTAATTTGGAAGGATGGTTTGAATGATTTCTCCTACATTCCTTATCTTACAGTTGTCTGTGCAGAAGCCCATCTGCCATCCTTCTGCCCATTCATGGAAGCTTGTGTTATCTTTCTATATTCATATTAGCCAGCTTGGCATTTCACTACCTGGAGGAACTTAGTAGTTTTTGCAAATCTGGAATTTCACCACATACTCCTTCTTTCAGATGATTTATAAATATGCTAAATAAATGCAGTCCCAGGGCAGACTACTTGCAGACAATACTGTTCATACAATCCAGAGAAATGCCCTTGCATTGTTTCTTGTTTTTTAAACATCAAGATCAAAGAAAGCCTCCATTTCTGAAAAACACAACATTCACCTTTTCAAGTGTATTTGCAAGTCTAAAAACCACTACATTTTCTTATGCCCTTTTATTCTTATTCTCAACTACTTGGTTAAAACTTCTATTAAATATAAATTTCTCCCACAAAATCCTCTCTGCCTTTCTCTCAGGAGGGAATTGAACCTGATGGTGATGGTGCTATCCTGGACCCTTGAATCCTGCTAAGAAATGTTCTTATAGCAATAAAAACATTCAAAATTATTTTGAGAAATAACTGACACTAAATAAAAACTGTGGTAAAACTGAGTGGGTGTAACCTCCATTGCTGCTTTGGATTTACTCTCTGACAACTCAATTTGGGGCAAGTTACTTGACTCTTTGTTTCCAGTTTTCTTGCCTATAAAATGAGGAAGTTAATGCCCCATCTGAGTGCTGTTGGAAAGACAGAGTGAGACTGACAGCAATCAGCACAGTGCCCTGCACATACAAGATGTAACCTTCACAGGGTGCTCATTTCAGTTAACAGTCTCTAAGGATACATGGAAATCTGACCCGGCGAAACAGGGACTTGGCCATTTTTATAAAGTTAACCATGTCCAACAAATATGGTGATGACGTGCAGGAAGAGATGTGGTTAACCTCAGAAAAGTCCTCATGGAAGCGACATGCTCTGGTAGGAATGGGACTGGTTTCTAGCTATTAGTGCAGTACCAGACCTAATCTAAAGGAAAGTATCCCATTCTTCCATCCCACCATTTAATCTCCAATAGGCAGTAAACTGAGGCCCTTCTCCACACTGGACTGTTGCTGCCTCCCCATAGAACTACCCCCGAAAGGGAGACAGACGTATAGGCAGCTAGAATGAGCTAGTTAACACAGAATGTGACTTGTGTCAACTATGCCTGGGTAGCTCCCCTTCCTTACTAGAAATGATCACATGTTATAGGAGGTAGTGATGATTACATTTACTCAACATCTGCTATGTTCTAGTTGTGCCAGAAATTGTGCCAAGTGCATTTATATATGTGTATATATCTCCTTTAATTCTTACAATAACAGTATCATTCCCATTTTAGAGAAGCCAAACCTGAGATTTAGAAACACTGTTATTAGTCAAATGTCTCACTGCTAATGGATATCATGGGTGGAATACGCACCTGATTATGAACCTGCTCTTAACCACTCACCATAGGCTCTCCTTGTTGTTACCAACCTCTATAGTGTTTGGCCTTAGTTACACTATTGGTTGGTGGCTCAGTGGTAAAGAATCCACTTACGACTGCAGGAGACACAGGAAATGTGGGTTTGATCCTGGGTCAGGAAGATCCCCTCAGTAGGAAATGGCAACCCAGTCCACGGCGAATTCCATGGACTGAGGAGCCTGATGGGCTATAGTCCGTGGGGCTCCAGAGTTGGACATGACTGAGCACACACTCATTACTGGTTACACATTATGATGGTTCTTAAGCTAGTGCTTCTTCTTTTTTTTTTTTTGC